CGTCAACAAGGACACCAGCCTGAAATTGGTTGCATGGAAAAGTCTTTGGTTTTTAGAAAACCCGCCTGTTGAACCATCGCGGTTCTGCTTCGTCTTTTCTTTTCAGGGTGTGTTCAAAAAGCTGTTGGCCCATGCTTGTGCAAATGGGAATGTTTGTCAACATCGGCCCAAACAGGCTCCCAATTTTGGAAGAGCAAAGTCAAAACTCCAATCGTTGGAGACAGTTGTGGTTCCCTGAGTTGCACAGGTTGGTTGTGTTCAGTAGAAAGCAAACAAAGGTATGCCCCTTTGCAACAGCGAGAGGATAGATTTAGACAAATGCTATCGGAATGAACCTGTCGGATTGAGCATTGGGACACCCCTGCATCCAGAGGCATATTTGTTCTGTGTTCCCATTACCAAGCTAGACTCCCCCGGGCGGTTGATTTACCCCCAAAAGGGCCTAATTCTGGCTTCGTTTTGGTTTGCTTTGGAAGGGGCAACCAGGGAAAAGCGCACAGAGTGTTTGCTGGTGGTCCAATGCCACTTTGCGACAGCCCCGGCCCCTCCACCGTTCCCGGACCCCTGCCTCTTTCTTGGACCACTGCTTCCAAGCTGCCCACTCGTTGGTGGAGAAAACCATGAAGCACTGCGGCACCTGACACCAAAGCACAATCAAACCAGTCCGAGGCAAAGAATTCAAAGGCCAAATATCCGCACCTATGGCTTGGACTCTTTGGACAGTCCTGCACTTGCCCCGGGTTTTCATTGTTCAACTGTTGGGGATGGGGGTTCGAACGACACCCCGAGGAAGCCAGCCGTGTCCGACTCCTACTTGCATCCATCCGACCTTCCACTGACATGGCATCTGACACAGGGGTCCCCTCAAGAGGAAACTCGTCCTCCACATACCCTACAGCTGCTACTGTGGACGAGCAAAATCCTGCACCAGTCAGTGGTGGTTTACGCCAGTATTTGTAAGGCTGCATCCAACTCCAATTGATGCGAAATGGATTTGGTCCATCCACCGTACATTCGGAGGAGGGAACCCAGCAAAAATGGTGTTCCTCCTGGTTTCCATTTTCACATACCTCAAACGGGCACCATCCAAAAAACCAAAGACGCAAATCCAGCCGTCGACGTCTTTCGCGAGCGGTGTCTGGCCTTTGCGCGGCTGGGCTTTGAGCTATCCACCGCCACCCAGGCCAAAGCTCCATGGCCATCGACCATGGCAGCATCCCAAGGCATCCTTACTATTTGTTGCTCCCTTGCAAAAAGTTGAAGTTTGAGTACAAGAGAGTTCATAAACAACCTCTAAACTGGAAAAATCGAGTCTAAGACGGCTCGGACGCGCCAAGCATCGGGAGCTCCTGGTCAAAGGCCACCATCAGATTCCAACACTGCGAAGTCTTGGTCCGCTTGTCTAGCCTTTGTCGCAAGCTCGGGGTGATGGAGGGCTGGACCATCTTGTATCCAGATTTGCAGCCCCTCAAGATCTTGTTCGCCTGAACGAGTTTTAGCTTCATCAAGGGAATTGCGGAAGCTAATCCGCCGGATTGATAGGGAAGTTGGGGCGAAAGCAATATCTTCAGCCGTATGCATCTTCTTTGGCACGCTTTCTGTGGTTGGTTTCCATGGGCCCAAAGCAATATTTTTTTGTCTGCATTGCCTCGAAGGCCAAGACCACTGCATCAAACTCCCCACGCTCCACCTCCTCCACCTTCTCCTTGGCTGGTCAACCCTACACTCAGGAATTGAATCTTTCTGCCATTGTTTTAGTGCAGGGCAAAATATGACTTTTGAATGGGGATCCTTTGGTGGACATGATAAAGGGGACTTCTGTCCACCATTTTAAGCTGGTCCCAAGTTCAAACGCAAAGCAACTTGAGTAAAGGGTCGACGATGGACTCATTCAGAAAACCATTCTAATCATAGAAATCCCTTTAAATCCCATTGGTCCCCCCACTAAAATGCGAACCACCCCTTCATGTGCCACATGAATCCCAAGTCATTGAGATGTTCCAAACGTCCCAGTCTCCGCCAGCTCGGGACGGTACCGCAGCTGTCCCAAATTCGCCTCCTGTCTGCTCCAGTTGACAACCCACTGCCCTGTAGCGTACTTCCGCCCCTCCACATGCGCCGTGCGGTCGATGTGGACCTACGCGTTGCCCGGGAGCGTCCCCAAGATTGGGGACCCTCTGGTTGTGACAAGGCAAATCAGAATTCGCATGGGCTTAACATGCGTAACGGAACCCAAGTTGGCAAACCTGTCATGGATGGTTTTGAAAGGTTGAAAGGCAAACCAACATATGTCGGGGTTCTACCACGCAACAAGGAAATGGGTTCCAACACGCGGCAAAATTCAAAGAATCCGTTCCTCCAGTTGCTTGGACCCAGTGCCTGCGGCGCGGCTTCGATCAACTGTGCAGCACTCATGTCTTACCAAGGGCTATGCTTTCTCTCCATATTGCTTTGCAGGGGTTTGGCATGCTTTATCGAAAAAGGACCGGCCCGATACTAGCGTAGTAGTACCGCCTTTTGATACGACCCCATTTTTTTGGACATGCGCCTTTCGAAGCGGTTATCCCAAGGCAAACCATCTCCTGTTTTTTTGCCGCAGAAAGCCCACACATCCCGATGTGGGGTGTCTTAACAAAGGTCCCTTCTTGGATGGTTGCGAACTGAAAAACCAAAGGAACCCAGGAGGAGTCCCCCAAACATGACCCAAAAGGAGACTCACTTGACATTGGCCACCAAAAACTGGTTTCCAAGCCCCACCCAGGGTCCCAAACGGACCTGCAGGTTCGGACACTGGTCCGCCAGGTGTCGGCCGATGGCCGACATGGAGGGCACGCCGACCACCAGGTTGTCTACGGGCAAGTCCTGAGACTTAGAAGAAAGAAACGCAACTGGACCTCGGAGAAAAATGAAGTGCAATGGGCTCAAAGCTTCTAACCAAACAACAAACACAAAGAACAAATTTGTGGTTCCTCTTGTCTTAAAACAACACAAATCACTAGTGCAAAGCTGCTATTTTTGAACAACAAGGCTTCAAAATAAGCGCACGGGGTTCGAAACAGTTCAAGCAGTTGTTGCCAAGCAACCCTTCAACCCTGCAAGTGGTCCTGAGTACTGCTCACATACCACCGGCTCCAGTCCCCGGCGCAGGAAATGCGCTTGTAGCGGCCTGCTTTGGGCCATGGCTCCACAATCTCCTTCAGGGTTGGTACATTACCTTAAAAACAAACCGGTTTAGTTTGAGACCTCTCTCAGGGCACCAACTGCCCATGAAAAGGAAAAACCACACCTGCCCCTGCTTTTGCTATTTTTAATCATCCATGGCTATGAGACAGCCGCTCCGAACCAATCCAAACATCTATCTATATATTTAGTGTTTCGCTGGGCCAAAGCATTCGGAACACAAACCAAGTTGGCGTTTTCAAATTTGCCGCCCATCACAAGAAACCTCACAAGGCTCTGGGGATCTCTCATTGAATATGGCCAGCCGGGCCCTTCAGATCGGTTGGAACGGCTACCATGAAACGTAGTCCCAAAACACAAAGGGTTCAATGGATGTTAGACCGGCCACCTTGGCGCTTGACGCCCAAGGGTGGGTCACCGAACCCCACTGACCTGTTGCAGCTTTACGTCGAATGTTCCTCGCCTTCAGCTGGTCCGCCAAAGGGCCGGCGGGCCGCAGCAGCTGAACGCCCATGTCGAAATGGAGCGTGGGATCCTCCTTGCGGATTGTGAGAATGAGGGGTTAGTTCGCATTCCCAGGAAGCCTCCGACTCCTCTTGAGAATTCGTCATTTGGAAGGCCTTCCAGCAGTGGGCAACTCCCACCCCGTCCTTGCCGTTCACGAACTTCGTGCATAGCTTGCCCCCGAGCCCTGACCGGGACAGATTTGTGTTTCCTTCCCGGAAAGCCTGGCTTTTTCGCACCAGAAACACTGAACGTGGCGAACAACCCCTCCTTCATGTTGAATGAGTCCCAAGATCCCCGCTGGAACACGCAACATGGGCTTCCAGTGAATAGGGCAACCAGCGGTCGGCCCCCATGTTTGGGTGTGTAGACACATATTATGTGTATATATATATATATATATATATTCAAATGCAAGTATGTAGATACAGACGTATTGTAGAGGGTGTTTCTCAAAAATTAGGAGTGAGGGACCCCTCCGGGTGGCCGGTTTCGTTTCACTGTCTCCTTCAACATGATACCAATTTGAACAGCGCCCAAAACTTATTGACCTTGGCTCTACCAACATGATTGCACAACTGTTTCCTTAGCCTTGCTTTAAGCCCCCGCGAAAAACTGGGTAGACACGGGTAGACAAGGATCCACCTACATGGGTGACTTGCCGAATCACATATTGGATTGTTTCAAAATGGGGAACTCCAGAATGGGTTTGAGAAATTTGGCTTCCCTTTAAGCAACCCTAACAGGGGTCCCCTCAAGAAGACAACCTGAAAGGAGGCGGGGAGCGACATCATCAAGATGCCAAAAATATAGGCCGTACTGGCCCCCCGCCCCCCCATGAAAACCCGGCAGCAACAACATGGACAACTCAATGCCTGGCAACACTACCGATTAGGAGCCATTTTCAGCCGGACGTCCGTCCTGCCAAGTCCATTTCTGGCTCAAAGTCCACCTTTGGGATGGTTTTAAACGGAGGAATCAGCAAGAGACAGCCATGGCGCCTCTGCTCTCCTGGACCAAGGTCACCCGTAGGCCAGCATCGCAGAGGCGCTTGCAGCAGGCCAGGCCGCTGGGCCCGCCCCCGACGACGCACACGGAGCGCCCTGGATTTTTGTTTAGGCAACGCCCGGCCCGTCGGACTGTTGGAGTTGGTTGGTTTCTTCCCATCTATTGACATGGGTTTGTCTCGAACTTTAGGGAATACTCAAAATGGGCAGCCCCAACCAGGCATACCCAAACAACCTCATGCGCTCCGTCCTGGTACCGGCTGTGAATCCTCCGCCGCGCGCTTGCTCCTCCAGCGGCCTCGTCGCGTCTCCACGGGCTCCATGGCTGCCGCTCAGACCCAGAGCTGCACACGCTCCGTCTTTCAAGCGCCAAAATTCGACACACCGACAAAGGGCATGGTGTTGCAAAGGAAAAGGATATGTTTTTGTTGCGCCAAATGCTGGGCAAGGAGGATGGCTTAGGGGGAACCCAACTGCGGGAATCCATCTGAAAGAACTCCTTGTCTTCAGGAGCCCGTCTAGAATGGGGGACCCCTTCCAGGTGGTTAGCTCCTTTTGGTTTTCCTAGGGCGCCACCCCCATTTTGAGATGCAGACTGTGACACCTCGTGCTAGCACCATGCGTGGTGCAGGCTGTCTTTTCGCAGAAAGAACGTTCACCCCGGGGGCCTTCTGGCGGGTCGACCCTATATTGGCCCACCGAACAAAGTTGCTTTGACATGGCCCTTCAAAAAACCGCGAGAGAAGGTTGCCGAATGTGTCGGCATAATTGTGAAGCCCGTTTAGTTGATAGTCAAAAAACAAACACCGAGAGGAAACGCGGAAACCACGCATTTTAGGGGAGCAACTCTATTTTTTTTGCGAAGCTGCGTGCAAATCGCGCCTCGACGGTCAGTGGTGCAGATCTGCACCATTGAGGAGACTCCAAACCATAGCGCCCAGCCTAGCGGAAAGGCTCTGGGGAAACTGCAAGGCCCGCCATACATTTTGGGTTGGGGATGCTTCAGGACCCGAAAGTTCCTCAGCCCCGCAAATACGGACAGCCTTTGGCTTATGCAGACTTCTACTGAACTTTGAAGCGCTTGCCCTCACATTTACGGAGGCGTCCGTCCTCACCGACAAAGGCAGTGGAAGGCGGCCATCATGGTCAACGGCCTCGCGCCAGCGCCGATCCAGGGAGTGGTTCCCTTTTTGTTCTGAGGGTACCCAACAACATGATCCCCACAAACATGTTACATTGCTGCTAATAGATCATACATATATTCTGCCCCAACAACCTTCGGCCGTCGGTAAGGATTCACGGAAAGTGCACATTCTTGTGGACCGCGGCCCACTAGTGAGGCCAGGTTGATCCGGTGCACCCTCAAATCAAAGTCTAAGCATAACCCCTACACGGCAAAAACAAAAAGCCTAAACTTTTCAACCCTGAACCCAAACACAAAAACAAGAAAACAAACTAAATCTAAACCCTACCCCCCAAACCTAAACCCTAACGCCCAGTGACACCCAGCACACACCTTGTCTGTTTTTCAGAGCAATTGCCAATCCCCTCATGCTTTTTTACGAGCCATGATTTTAACTCCGATCCCAAGCGTAACTCAGTGTCAAGTGCAACAAACATGAACTCCATGTAAATGATGTGTTGAACTGACCGTACCCTGAACCCACAATCCTAACCAAGTTCTGGGCCGAAATTGGAAACCCCCCCCCCCCAATTTCCCTCTCGGCCAACAGAAAGGTCCAATTGGATACGTGTCAAACTGGGGGCCTGAAATGGGCGGTTTCCCTTTGGTTTGCCTTTAGACTCTTACCCCCCAGCCAAGCCCCAGACTGGGATCCATTGGGGGCCGGGCTGGCGCGAATCATGTGGGAACGAGTTGCTTAAGACTGAGAAAAGGGGGTCAAAGGTCCGAAAACCGAAAGGGGCTCCCGGCAACATATCTATAAACACCCTGTACTCAATGACACCATTGAAATGGCGGCAACTGGCAACAAGTGGGGCTGCGTACTTGAGCTGGGGAAATGGGCGCTTAAGGAGTGCGTCTTCCCAGCTTGGTTTCAAGGGGAACGGAAAACCACCATTTGTTGGGTCCCCCTATTTGGACACGTCAAGGAACTTCCCTTGATGCCTTGAACGCGCACCGGGCCAGCCCTGGAACTCGGCCCGAGAGGGAGCATCGGCAGCCTGGGAAAGGCAGCACTTCCACCCAACGAAAGGGGGGTCCTGGAAGACCATTTTCCTTTTAAAGGGACCCCATGTCAGGTTCCATGTTAATTGGTGGAAGGGTATACCTCTGCGTTTCAATCGGAGAAGGCCGTATTTTTCTTTCAGGCTCCGAAAGAAAGATCGAGGGAACCATGTACCCCATCCGCACAAAGAAAGACCGGAACCATACATGGAATTCCACAGATTGCCGAGTTCTAGTCTCATGACAAGCAGTGCAACTCTGGGCCCTCCGCATGTTGAAACGTGATGCCACGGCACGGTGGCCCGCGCTGCGCCGTGATGTCCGAGCCAGGACAGGTGGGAGCAGGCTCAGCTTCTGGATCTGCATGAAACGCGTAAGGTCTTGGCTCCCCTCCACACATTATTTTTCTTGCACTTACAAAAGGAATAGGGTCCTTGCTGGGAAGGCACCCCCCTCAAAACATTACTTCAGGGGTGGAAAACCTTCCACCAAAAGGAGGTTGTGATGCCACGTGAGCCCTTCGAAGGTTCAGTTCGTGTCTCTGCAACCAACACTCTGACACTCCTGCACCGTAGTTCCTTCGTCAGAGATGATATGTATATCTATCTATCAACATATCAACATATATGTGTATATATATATATGTTATATATATATATATACATAGAAGAGAGAGAGAGAGAGAGAGAGAGAGAGAGAAAAATTACTTCGCTTCGAGCAATCCCCACCCTCCACACTCACGAGCTTACCACCGTGAACACGGTTGTGTGAGTTCAAGCATGGTTTTCGAGTGGCTTGGGGCCTATGACTGCTCAACAAGCCTCGCATTGAGAGCCTTATCCACCTGTCTGTGTGTGTGTCAAACTCCACTTGTCTGCGAGCCGACCTCGAGAACTCAAACATCGGTTCCGTTAACAAAAGCCAAGCCCCTTCCAAAAAGAAACTGGACGGAATATACAAGAAGTTGCTTATTCGCAACCCAAAGCAACACAAAAGCATCACCCTTGCCGAGCCTCAGGGCACACTCAAAACAAGAAGGCACCAACATGACATGTAAACCCAACTTTGCGCCGGGCGGAACATTAAGCAAAACCAGACTGGCGAGCTGCTCCGGCTGGATAATGGCGGGATCCACTGAAGAATACTGGCGAGCCGCTCCGGCTCGACACTAGCCGGATACTCGGCAGGATCCACCGGCAAAGGATACTCAGCGGGATTCGGGATACTCGGCGGGATCCACTGGCGAGCTACTCTGGTGGGATACTCGGCGGGATCCACTGGCGGGCTACTCTGGGATACTCAGCGGGATAGTCGGCGGGATCCACTGACGGGCTGCTTTGCTGGGATACTTGGCGGGATCCGCCGAGGAGCTACTCTGGCGGGATCCACTGGCGGGCTGCTCTGGTGGGATACTCGGCGTGGTGGGATACTCGGCGGGATCCATTGGCGAGCAGCTCTGGCGGGATACTGGGCTCGATCCACTGGCCAGCTGCTCTGGCGGATGCTTGGCGGAATCTACTGGCGAGCCGCTCTGGCAGGATACTCGGCGGGATCGCTCTGGCGGGATACTGGGCGGGATGCACTGGCGAGCAGCTCTGGATACTCGGCGGGATCCACTGGCGAGCTGCTCTGGCGGGATACTCGGATCCACTGGCGAGCTGCTCTGGCGGGATACTCGGCGGGATCCACTGGCGAGCTGCTCTGGCGGGATACTGGCGGGATCCACTGGCGAGCTGCTCTGGCGGGATACTCGGCGGGATCCATTGTCGAGCTGCTCTGGCGGGATACTGGGCGGGGGCGCGGTGTAGAAGCATCGCAAACGCGGATTCCAACATAAAATCTAAAAACCCCTTCCTGTCGGGTGGGGAACCAGACAAAACCACAATATCATCATGGGATCCACTGGCATCCTCTCTGGCGGGATACTGGGCGGGATCCACTGGCATCCTTTCTGGCGGGATACTGGGCGGGATCCACTGGCATCCTCTCTGGCGGGATACTGGGCGGGATCCACTGGCATCCTCTCTGGCGGGATACTGGGCGGGATCCACTGGCATCCTCTCTGGCGGGATACTGGGCGGGATCCACTGGCATCCTCTCTGGCGGGATACTGGGCGGGATCCACTGGCATCCTCTCTGGCGGGATACTGGGCGGGATCCACTGGCATCCTCTCTGGCGGGATACTGGGCGGGATCCACTGGCATCCTCTCTGGCGGGATACTGGGCGGGATCCACTGGCATACTGGGCGGGATCCACTGGCATCCTCTCTGGCGGGATACTGGGCGGGATCCACTGGCATCCTCTCTGGCGGGATACTGGGCGGGATCCACTTATTCCATGGCGGGATACTGGGCGGGATCCACTGGCATCCTTTCTGGCGGGATACTGGGCGGGATCCACTGGCATCCTCTCTGGCGGGATACTGGGCGGGATCCACTGGCATCCTCTCTGGCGGGATACTGGGCGGGATCCACTGGCATCCTCTCTGGCGGGATACTGGGCGGGATCCACTGGCATCCTCTCTGGCGGGATACTGGGCGGGATCCACTGGCATCCTCTCTGGCGGGATACTGGGCGGGATCCACTGGCATCCTCTCTGGCGGGATACTGGGCGGGATCCACTGGCATCCTCTCTGGCGGGATACTGGGCGGGATCCACTGGCATCCTCTCTGGCGGGATACTGGGCGGGATCCACTGGCATCCTCTCTGGCGGGATACTGGGCGGGATCCACTGGCATCCTCTCTGGCGGGATACTGGGCGGGATCCACTGGCATCCTCTCTGGCGGGATCCTCTCTGGCAGGAGGGTGTGGTGTAGCAGCATCGCAAGCGTGGATTCTACTTCAAATCTAACAACCCCTTCCTGTCGGGTGGGGAAAAAGAGAGAGAGAGAGAGAGAGAAAAGCGAGAGAGGAAGGGGGGGCCGAGTGTCGGGCATGGAATCATCGCAGGGCCTCTGCTGTTTCCCGGCGGTTAGACACTTTTGAATCTGGGGGAAGCCTTCCGACGAGTCGCGGACAGATCCAGAGAGCTATGGAGATACCGCGTGACTTGTCCGCAGGTTCCAGCCGTAAGATCCAAACCCACGCAACGAATCTCCGCAGCCTGCAATGAACGATAGAGAGGTGAGGGCCAGTCTTTGTACAGGTAAAGGTATTTGGCCGCTCAGGTCTTAAATGTCGGCAGCGATGGCGGCCTGCAAGCATCAACCCATAGTGAAATGCCCTATGTTAGGCTATCAAGGAAGCTCCCAAGAATCCTGGGCAAAACTTGATTCCTACGAGTACCTAGTACCTTCCATGTTAGAAATGATAAGCCGAGGCTGCTGAGGGCCCCACCGTGTGGCTAAGCAATCTGTCCGCAGCTTCACTCTCAAAGGCCGATCAGCTGCCTTCACCTCAATCCAGGAGCACCGCCCCCCAACAGCTCATAGGCTGAATAAGGCGCCGGACAAGGGCAGGGTCCAGTGCTTGGCAATGTGCAACGAGCCGGCAGCATTTTGCGAAATCCTGGCACTTTGGCACTCAGTCTTGAGCATGTACATGCGAACAAGCTCACACACACACATATCTATACGTATATATATATATATATTGGGGGGGCTTAGCATATAGTTATATGTACATAATATATTCACACACACACACATCCGTACTGTATGAAGGTATATGAGCCATATCCATATGTATCTGCAGATACAAGGATTTCTTGCTTTGTAGGTTTGCTCAGGGTTGCTCGCAGCCTGGTTCCCTCAATGTTTTAATTAGAAACCTGGAATTCACCCTGTCACGGTACCTAACTCCCATGAACTGGTAGAGCCTGAGGGCATCCACAGGTGCTAAAAGAAGCGAGTCAGATCTGTGAACACCCCAAGTCTAAACCCACAAAACCAAACTAAACCCTAAACTCAACCCAACTAAACCTGAAACCCACATGACAAACAAACCCGAAACCTGAGACAAAAAAAAAAACAGCCCTAACCCTATAAAAACCGAAACCTAAACCCTAAACAACCTCAACCTGACCCTGGCAACCCTAAACCTAAACCGTACCCCCCAAACCTGAACTCTAAACATCCCTAAACACGCGAACCCTAAACCCTAAAAAACAAAACCTGCTAAACAACCCAACAAGCCAGGCCATTTAGGCCCAGTTGTTTGCCGGCCGGAAACAGGAGGCTGCCAAATCTCTGACTTGATGCCTTTTAGGGGCTGACTCGATACGCATCTAGCTCTGACTCGAGTCAACAGCTGCGCTGACTAGGCCATGACCCTCACGGACCTGCCAATCTGACTAGAGTAGCATGATCCTCTACTTAGATGCAACTAGGCGCCTACTTACCTGGAAACACACTGTTATACAGTCATGTTAGACAGCTTGAGAACTACGTGCAATCCTTGACACTGTGGACACATACAAGATATGCTATACGGATGCGATTGCTTGGAGCAACATCATATTTGTAAGGGTCTGTCCCTCTGCGTGTGCTTTGGTTCTGTGTTTTAGACGTGAGTCCGGCTTAAGTTTCAACGCAAAATTGACATGGCAGTACAGCGGTGCTACCTCAGCAATATGTGCGCAATGCGATGAGGACATTGTTTTTTCTAAAGCTTGGTCCGGGCAACATGGAGCTTTCGGGAACAACCTGTTGTTTGTCTTCTGTGAATTGTGGGCTTCTTCAACGTGCCTTATAAGGAGCTGTTAAGGAGCCTTATAAGTAGCTTTTCAAGGAGCCTTACAAGGAGCTTTGTGCTGTGCCTTAAAAGGAGCCTTATATTGTTCTATGCATGTTTAGAAGAAATTGTATACGGAGCCTGTTGAGGAGCTTTATCAGGAGCTTTTTAAGGAGCCTTGCCTTTCAAGGAGCCTTTTCAGGCGCTTTATGCTGAGCCATAAAAGCAGCTTACAATTGCATGCGAAGCTTTTTACGGAGCTTTTTAAGGAGGTGTGTAAGGAGTCGTTCAAGTTGCCTTGTAAAGAGCTTCATAAGAAGTCTTGCAAGCAGCCTTACTAGCGAGCTTCAAAGAATGAGCTTCGCAGGCAGCTTTATGCGGCATTGGGAAGCCTTTTCGTCGTTTCGTAAAGAAGCCTTAAAAAGAGCTGCATGAGCTTCATACGGACTCTTGCAAGCAGCTTTACAAGAAGCTTTATGAGGAACGTTATAAGGAGCCTTGAAAGGAGCTTTACGAAAAGCTTGAGTGAAGACTTCAAAGCCAGGTGTTGAAATCTAACCGAAAATCGAACATTTTATTCGATTCTGCCATTGTTTAATGTATTTAATGTCTGATGATGTTAAATTCTCTGATGACGTGTTGGTTGTTCTCTAATCATGCACTTTGAACAGACCAACAAAACTGCGGGGAAAAACCAACAACAATAAACTCTCGAAAAGAACTTGAACAAAACACAAAACACAAAGAATAAGTTGTGGCAACGCCACAAGTATTTCTTCGTGTTGTTGATTTATTCTAACTCTTTGGGCTTCTCAGTGATTGTTTTCTTGGCTTTGCCACCCTAAAAACAAACAACTCAAGGGGTTGTTGTGGCCTGTGCTTCTGGCACTCAAATAAGTACTTATATTCAGCAGAAGCCAACAAACACAAGGTGTAGCTGGCACTCACCAAACAACCAAACCACCCGAGGAGGGATACAAGGGAAACAAAAACAAGAAACACACGCAAAACAATGAGGAAAACGACAAAGACAAAACTTTTGGCAAAACCCAAACTTCTCCTTTGAGTGTGTGTTTGGTGGTTTGTTTGGTTTGTGGTTTTCCGCATGTTAGTCACAAGAGTCAAGCATGCACAACCAGCAGTGTTTTGGGCTTCAAACAAGCGCATACAAGGACGAGTGTTTGTTTTCCTTGTAATTGCAGGTACTTCGGATGGCCGAATTCCTACCACCCTTCATGTGAAAGCAGCAACCTGAAACACGCAGTGTGTTTCACATCTTTACAAGGAGGCACAATAAAGGTAGATCATGGGTGTGTGTGTGTGGGGGACCATACATATGCATATACACATGTGTGTGTGTGTGCGCAAACATACCTATATCTATATATCTATCTATCTATCTATCTATCTATCTATCTATCTATCTATCTATCTATCTATCTATCTATCTATCTATCTATCTATATACATATATATATATATATGCACATACGTGTGTGGGTGTACGTACACATATATGTAACTATGTACATACAAACGTATGTATAGTGCATATCGTGGTATATAATATGTACGTATGTATGTATCTAAACATGCCATACATATGATATATGCGACCATGTCTTCTGCACACAGCCAGCATGGCCTCGTAGCTCAAGCTCGTCTTGCTCCCAGGATTTGCAACCGCCCACACCTCCGCTAGCTCAGGTTTCCATTAACAAGATGCCCGAGCCCGCTGGTTTAGTGGTTCCTCATCTGATCAACTGTCGCTAAGACAGGTTGTCAACACGGTAAATCATTTTGGCTGTCGCACCCCTTTCACAGGCGGTACAACATCTGACCTTCGCGGGGTTCTATCGACGGTCCAATGTTTGGGATAACCTGAAGTGAGCCACGGACTTCAGGTTGGAAACAAAAACGATGGTCGGGTTGGCATGAAAACCCTTCCATACGAGCAACTGACAAAATCTATTCCAGTTGAAGATGTTTCGGGGAGAACATATTTCCAATGGTGACGGGGACAGGATTTCCTTGTATTTCCCTTCAAACCCCGCTCCACTTAACGAGTCGAATATCGCCTGAAGACAATAGGGAGACTGAGGGCAGCGTGTTAAACCTCGGGCACAACAATGCCCAAAAGGAACTCCCTTGAAACTGGCCCCAAAGGTGATGCTGAAAAAACAAAGGAGACATACGGGAACCCTACATGTACCCTTAAAACATCACCCTAGAGAAACTCACCTTTTTCAGGGGGCCCAAAACAAGACCCAACCAGCGAAATAGAGGTCTGACGGTCAGTCTCAAAACGCGGGAAGCCTTTTTATGGTTGGCTTCAGAGGGAAGCAGCAATCAAAAGCAATTCCCAACGTGGAGGAGTTGGCGCCGATTGGAGAAATGCCCAAAAAGGACCCTTGAAATGCCAGCGCCTGCTTCAAGGCTTCCCGGGGCAGCCCAGACTTCCAGAGGAACTGCGCGCTGGGCTTGGCGGGTTTCGAGGCCGAAGAGCCTAGCGAAACGGCACGCGTGGCCGGGTGGCGTTCCAACAAGGTCCCTTAAAGGATACAGGGGGCATGGTCTACCCCTAAAATCGTGGCAATCCACTACACTTTCCCCCACTGGCTACTCCAGGCGAATGGGATTTGCACCGCTTTGTACAGTGGCAATGCAATTGTAGGGTATACGGTGCATACTTGTACACTCCATTCTCGCTGGGGGCAGTGGAAACCCTCTTGGGCAGCTTCACAATCCGCTCCAAACGGCCGGAAACATTTGGGAGGGTCCCTAGTTGCACAACTACCACCTACTGCTCACCGTTGCTTAACAAACAGTGCAGAATCCCTTTTAAGGGGCCAAGGTCTTGTTCATGCATCTTTGCCAAGCCTCTTGGATGCCAAGGACTCAGTGAGCATGGAACAAGGTTCCAAACATGTCTGAAAGGAGCCCGTTGGTTTCAGCAAATCCCACCATTTGGAGAGCAACAAGCATCAGACAGGATCTCTCCAAATCTAAACCCTCAAGAGGTGGTTTTCCTTCCATGTCCCTTTAACGCCCCAACTAGGCCACCCTCAAAAAAGACGAACCCACCAGAACATCCGGCCTCCTTCAATGGCGGCGAACCACTTCTGGTACGCCTCCTGTCAGGTTCGCTTGGAAGCCGTGAGACAAACCAGCGAGGCTTCGACAAAAGCAACCCATTGCAAGCATGCTCAGAATCCAAAGAGATGCATGCCAACGTCACTTAACTGACCGACCCCCACAGGTTTACAGATTAGATGCCCGCCAGTTGGCCTACCCAGGGGTGCTTTTTTGAAGGATTGGTGTTCCGGGCACGCGGCAAGTTCCACAATGGTGGGAAACCCTGAGTTAGCAGCAGGGTCCCCAGACTTTGGCTCTTAAGGTCTTTTTGTTCCTTACGCTATCTAAACGGAGTCCTTTCAAAAAACTGCAGAACACCCCCCCCATATTAGCACAGTCTGAACTAGGAGTTTCTGTAATTGATTGGTTTGCGCCAAGCACCCTCTTTTGGCACAGCCAGGAACTGCTTTTCACCGGTCTCATCATTTCCGTGGAAGTCGGCGCATATCAGCTCAACGTAACCCCAGCCGATCCCAGCCGCTTAAGGGACGTCCTTCCACGTGGGAAACAAGAAGCCTGCAACCCAAGTAGTCGAAATGGAGTGGCTTTGTTTGCAGGGACTGTGCCCCATGTCTATCTGTCGGGGAAACCGGAGATATGTTAGACTACAGGTTTGTCTCAAACGGTGCCAACCCAAATCTCATGGCAGAATGGTCTTTACCATCTGTGCTGTTGGGTGTCTTCCATGCTTGACCAGACTCGAACCTCCTTCAAAGAACTACCTTGTTGCTGAGCTGGTTGAAGAGAACATGATAGAAAACCAAGAAGTCAAAGTTGGAAAAGCAATGCGTGGCTTTGTTGATTCCCCTTGCTTTTTGCTTTCTTTTGCAGATCTCATTTCCCAAAACCAGCCTGCTCTTCCGTCGTATACTCGGATTTGGCATCCGAGATCGGCCGCAGGTCTTTGTGCTGCAAGGGCAACTCCTAAGGAAAATCAGGCGACGTCCCCCCCAAACCATCACCCCCCATTGGAAAAATGGTGTCATATGTATACAAACAACCTGCCAAACAGAAGCCACTAATATTTATCTGGGCGGCATAGTATCAATGAATCATCTGTGCAAGCCTGCCATCATTGTGAAATGGTAAATGGTAGCATCTATCTGAAATGACTTGACTTCCCTTCCATAAGCAGCAGGCGGAGGATGGGAGGTGCATGTGTATATATATATATAATATGCCAATGTGATGTATATACATTATACCATTCTGCATACCCTCTATAATTCGAGATATGATATAACATGCTAATCCCGAGTTCCCCAGGGTCAAATGTGGGCTGAACAAATTCCGACTCCTTGCGAGTCCAAAAGACTCTCAAAAGAAAGCATCGGCGCAAATCTCTGGGCCCAGTGACCTATTTAGAATTTGGACCCAGACCTAGATCCGTGTGAAATGTGTTGGGAGTGATTTGTTGTGACGAGTTGTGTTTAAGTGGCTGCTAGTCCTCGAGCAGTTTAGGGGTGCATTTGAAGGTGTCACAATAGGGAATGAGCCATGGTCGACATGCTAATTTAGTCGTGCGTTTGGGCGCGCGTGTGTGTGTGTGTCAAAGAAGGGAACCCCCAACATGGCGTTTTCTTCCTTTGGTTTCCCTTTCAAGCACACACGCACAATTGCAATCACAATCACAGTCACAAACATAATTGCACACATAATGACACATGCACACAAACACACGCCCATTTAAATCACGAGGGTCCTGTTTTCACGAAGCACGACTGCCTTGTCACTCGCAACACCCTGCACTGGCTCCTTGCGAGCAAAACTCCCGTCACGCAGGGAGAACTCGGCAATGACCTTCCCATCTTTGACCTGCGCAACCAGTCGCAACCAGCGAAATCTTATGATACTTCCAAAGCCAAACACATTCGGCCGTTTCCAACTTACGGACTCGCATGGGTCCCAGCTCGATCCAGAATAGTTTGGGCGTCGCTCGACTGTCAAAATCAGGAACCCCTACGGTGAACTCCAAGCGAAAAAAGGTGGGCCAACCACGAAACCAAAGTGAGTCCGGGTTTTGACAACCTCCTTGCGTGCGTCGTAACACCAGGCCAAAGGCAGACTGGGTTCGAAGCTTGCTGCACCTTTCCTTTTCCCCACCTGCACGGAACTCTGCGCTGGAGTGGACTGGAGCAACACTCGGACTGATTGGAATGGACATTCCCCGTCGTTGAATTTCTTGCAATCTTCTTACTCCTTTCTGATGAATGGGAGTCGGGCGCTTCACTCTGTGCTCAAAGAAGAAGCAATACTGGTTTTTCTATTGGCTAGCATTGCATCTGGCAAACTCGCCATGCTTGCAATCTGAGCACAGGACGCTCGCATCCCGTTGCTCCACACTTCTACTTCGTCACCAACTGCGTATACCTGAAGGCAAAGTCAGCGAGGAACTCGTGTGTGATGCATGAGTTGTAGCAACGGGATCTCTTGTTTCAAAGCCATTTGTGCTGCACAACATGCACTCACCCTCATGCAGACTCGCATCTTCCTTTTGGTATGTCAACATGCTGCTCAAAAGGACGTCATGCAATAACATGATCGCAGCTCCTGCACTGGCGATTTGCGGTCCGGCGGCTCAAGCTTAGGAACTGATTCAGGGCTGACTATAGAACTGCCGAACCGTGCCAATGGTCCTTGGTGTCCCCCGACAGCCATTAAAAAAAGCAATAGTTCGCCATTGGGCTGCATGGCCCCCCTCATAACCTTCCCAACAAAAGCGAGCCCTTCAAATGCTGGGGTTCAATCGTGATTCGCTTTCTAAACCATCCGCCAATTAGCTGTTCAGCGGCCGTCTCCAACCTTTTCTATCCATGTGGGGGTTGATACTTGGCTTACTGCACTGGTCTGTGCATAGCCACTTTTCGCTTTCTGTCCTACATGTCAGATTGTATTCGTCAATATACTTCGGGCCTGAAGTGGTATATAAGTGGTTCGACATCAATAGCTTGCAGCCCAAATTTGCGCCGGGCAGCAACAACGGCTGGTGGCGTGGTGACGCGGGCTTCTGTCTGAGTCCAACTGGGCAGAACTCAAATTGGGTTGGGGGAAAACGCGGATGGTACTGGACTGGGTAGTAAAAGACAAGCCCTTGTAATTACACTTTGCGGGAGCTAAGGAAGGTGCCACGAACTTCTGCAAAGCTGCCAGGGGGTGGTGTGAACAACCAAGGGGTTGGGGGAAAGCTAAAATATGTTGAGGACATATATACACAAACCCCAAGAGGCTTCTGCAAAGGTATTGGGGGTTCTGCGAAGTGGACGAGGGTTCTACGCAGTTCTGCGGACAAACGTCTACTGTATTACTCTCCTCAGCGTTGCCCTCCAGCTTTTTCCTTTGGCTCCCCTTCATAGCAACTGCTAAATGGGACAGCCATATGCCGCCTCAGCTAACATCCTACCATTCTCGGGCCCATTTAGGAACTCAACAAAAGGGAGCCCTTTGGCAACAGATTCTTGTCTGGCATCCCGGCAAGGCCATCAACAAAGTGCCTGAAGTTCCGGCGGGGCGCCACTGGTCCTCCCAGTTCGACCGGCCGCTCCCAGGTGGATTCCCGCGTCCTCGCCGGGCGCCTTTCTTTTCGATTTTCGGGGGGATAGCTTTGACGGGAATTCGGTGCAATTTGCTTGCTTGCCAAAGAGGGCATCGGAAAACTTTCGGTTTCGTCTCGCGCTTGAAACTTTGTGAGTCCTCCCAAAACCATGGACTGCCAGCAACTTTCACGGAACTTCATTCTTTACCAAAGTCGCCCCAAGTTGCAGGTCGAACGGACGCAAGTTGCTGACTCTTGACTCCCAAAGTCAACACATGTCAAAATATCTCCCGGTTCCCAAGTGGATGCACTTATAGAAAGGTTGACCGTAGGGAAACCAAAAGGAACGTCTCTCTGTGTTCGCCTTGGCCTTCAGGAGCTGTGAATCTTTCAGCAAGAACCCTCGCTGTTCATTGGGAGGACTTCATTCAACCCCAAGGGCAAGGTCTTGCCAACGAGAAAGCCAACGGTCCTGGAGTTGTAGTAGTAAGTGTGCCCCTCAGGCGTTTTGATCGCCTGTGCAGCAAGCAATCTTCTGCGAGCCCCTCGGTCCGGAACATCCAACCGGTTTGGACCCTTGATCGGCTCCCGAACTGAGCTGCCCCCCTTTGGAGGGAAACCGACCTAAAACTAAGCACCTCGCTAGATTTAACACACAAGAAAATCCTGCTTCCAATTCATCCAAGCCCCCCGCTGAGTCACATGAAAAGCAACTTGAACAGATCTACCCAAAGAGCGCGCAGAACTAAAGGGCGGATATGCCCACCTTATGGTTGAAACAGTCCCCTGAACTGAAGCTAGGTTTTGCAGGAAGGCTTCGGAAGCCTTCCACTTGTTCACCTCTGGCACGTCTGGCGCTGCCGCCTCATGAACGGACTCTAGCTACGGCCCCTTCAAAGACACGTGCTTGGCTTCCTTTTCGAAATGGTTATCTTGCGAGTCACAAACTGGTATCCAATTCTAGGACATCTATGTCTATGTCAATGCCAATCCACAGCAATTGTTGACTTGGTTTGTCAAAGTAAGGCACCAATGCCCGGGTAAGCCTTTCCATGAAACATGTGTCTTACTATGCTCAGGAGGTGTCTCTCATCTTGCCTTTGAAACAACACCCAAAGGGTACCCCCCCCAAATAAAAAAAAGAACTACGCACCCATTTCAGAGATGCCTTCCTAGCTTAGTCATACCTGGCCACAAAGCTGGTGCTCATATCTTTCTTGGAAGACTATTCTTTCGGACGCGCAGCCTCTGCACAGTCCTCTCCTGTGCAGTGCCAACAACGACTCAACATGCCACCATTTTCACAGGAGGCTCCTTTTTGGGTCCACCGTGTTTGGGACCGTAACCACCAGGCTCCATGTTTGGCTTCTCAATGGGCTGGACCCCGGGCTCCCTTACTGGAATACAATAGCTCTTGAGTCTTTTCAGGAGCCAAATGGAGATTTGCCCCTCACAAGCGCGGCTGAGGCGTAGGCATATCCGCCGGACACCGGCCTCCTCGGGCCTCGTATGCTCTGCATCCGGTCTGCCACCTCGGGGATGGGACCCAACTTGGGTCGCTAGGGGCTTCACCCGGGCCAGCAGTTGAGTTGGCAAAACCATGGCTCATGGACTTGACCAGCTCAGGCGGCATCATCCCCCACAAGGCCCTCCCTTTTGACCCCGCCAACGCCTTCAAACAAGCAACTGGGTGCGGAGAAAGCAGGGACGAATCCAGCAAATGGTAGGGAAAGCACCCCCATCTCGGCCTGTCCCGCATCCGAAAAACGGGGCTGGGAC